TCCTGTCTATGCTGTGTCCTTGCCCGGCTGAGCCAAAGTATACAGACTCATGAATCACCAGGGGCTCAATCAAAATTTCCTCCAGTTTCATAGCTCGCTCCAGCCCAGGGACAGTGATAGTCTCCACCTCCGCCTTCTGGAGTCTGGCGAGTAGGGGTCAGGTGTGGGTAAAGCAGCACTGACTACCCCAAGGGAGCAGCAATATCCCTGCCTGACATGCAGAGAGAAACAGGAGAACTTAGCAAAATCATGCTTGCATATCAGTCTTTTTTGATTCAGAATTTAAGCCAGCTGTGGTGACTCATCCCGGCCATGCCAGCACTCTGAGAGTCTAAGCCAGAAGGACAGCAAGTTCAAGCTCAGCCTGGGCATTTTAGTGAGACTCGAGTCTCAAAAACCTTAAAAAAAAAAAGTTTTAAATGGGCTGGAGATGTAGCTCAGGCTGAGTCCAGTCCCCAGGAACTAACACACACACACACCCAAGAAAAAAGAAAAAGAAACCAGAAGGTTCCCCCTCCCACTGTGTGGGCAGTTTCATTTGTCATTTGCAATCTTAAAAGCCAGTGCTTGTTAGGGAGACTCTGTGCCAAGTTCTCAGAGTGGAGCTTGACTCGGTCCTCACAACAACGCTGGGAGGGAGGGACCGCTCTTAGGTACCATTATTAACGCTCCTGGTCTGCGGACCAGAAGCTGGAGAATGGGTGTGGGACTCATCCTGCCTCTAGGCAGACTTAGCAGGGTTCGCCACTGCCCAGGGTGGCTCAGAGCTGCAGGCAGTGCCTCTGGCCCTTCTCACACGGGTCCACGGCTCCATGCCTGATGCCTGTTTTCCCTCTGGTGCACTCATTCTTTCCAGATTTTTTTACCTTCTTTCCACTTGTCACAAGGGAAGGCCTGCTGGGGTGGAAACATAGCACATGAGCTAGAGGAGAACAATGGGTGCCAGGCGCCGAGTCAGCCTGGAGTGTGGTGGCTGTGTTGTGGTCCCTGAGCTTCCTCCATGCAAGATCTGATCTTCACAACGCCCAGCAGGGCCAACAATCATTTCCTCCCTCAACAAAAGGTGCAAGTTAAAAAAAAAAAAAAAGCTGTCTCCCCATGGGCCAGATGATCCCTGCGCTGACCAGAGCAATCTCTTACGGCTGTGATGTTTTCTTGCTTGCTCAGGGCATTATTGTGCCGCTGAGCCCCTGCCCTGCCAAGTGCTCACACAGGATCTGAGCTCTTTGGTTTTCCCTGGGCATTTCTGGGTGGTGTTGCGTATAGTCCCCAGTTTACCTTGCACTACAGTTTGGCTGTGGCTTGAGCGTGTCTGCGAAGGATTCACGTGTTGGAGGCGTGGGCCTCGGTGTGGCATGTTAGGAGGCGGTGGTGCCTGTACAGATGAGCCCTGCTGGGAAGGCACTGAATTTCGGAGGACACTGCCCTTGGAAAGAACTGCGATAGCACTCATGGGATTCTGGCCAGTCCTGATGAGAAGGTTGTCATAAAACAGACAGCCCGACTCCTGAAGCATGTTTGGGCTTCCTGTCCCGCGGTGTGACTTCCCCTGTCACACGGGCTGGTACCAGTCGATCTGATGTGATGCAGCTGCCTGAGGAGAATCCGTGCCCATGCCTCCTGAGCGAAACAACCTCTTTTTTTTTTTTTTTAATATAGTACCCAGCCTTTAGTAATGGAAAACAAATACACTTGGGACTATTGACAGAAAGTAAAATTATTCCTTTAGCTTCCAGAATTGGAGACATGAGAAAGACTCAATTTAGCTAAACCAATCTACCTCAAGGGTTTTTCCTTGTGACTCCCAAGAATCTCTGTCAGATTTTTTTCTAACTATTCCTTTCCCCCTGGTATTACCATTTGTCAACATATCTGAAGTCCACTGACCATCGTGATATCCAAGGTTCTCTCTCTCTCTCTCTCTCTCTCTCTCTCTCTCTCTCTCTGTCTCTCGCACACACACACACACACACACAGAAGCACAGCTCAGGAAACATTTTGTATCCTCCTGGTGCAATATCACCCACTGAGAAAACATGGGCCACACTCCTCTCCGTTAGGGCCGGTGGTGATTCGTGGCCTCTTTCCCTACACTGCCCTTCTTGCTCATAATTATAAACACCTACTCACCGGTTGCATTCAAACTTTCACCCTGAAACAATTTCATTTCTAGGTAATTATCCAAGGCAAACAAGTGCAAAAATAAAAAACAGTCTCAAAATGATCATAGCAGCTTTATCCATATTGGTTGAAAAACTAGAAACCATCTAAATGATCAACAGGAAAGTAAATAATAAATGGGACTTTCTCATATCATGCAATATTACCTTCAATAAATATAACTAACTACTGCTACCCATAGACTGATTGTGAAAACATAATATGAATGAAAGAACACAAATGCAGACCACATATACTGCATGATTCCAAATCTATGAAGTTCAGTAATAAGCAAAACTAGTCCACGGTGGCAGTCAGAACATTATGAACCCCTAGAAGGACTTAGAGAGAAAATTTTCTTCTCTATCTTGATTTAAATAGTTACGTTGGCATATAATTAGGTTAAAATGTGTGTGCTTACACAAGAGCTCTAGCTATGCACTTGAGATTTGTGTATCTAACTTTATATAAATTATACCTTAACATTTAAAAACAGTCCTTGAAAACTTCCTTGTAAAAAATCCAGCTGTGGGTGCCAGGTGAAGATGCAGATTTCAGGGTGCCATCCATGAGCGCACTCCACGGGACAGAACTCTGAATCCCATCGGAGCCCCTCGGCAGCTCCAGGGCCAGCCGTCCTGAAGCCACATTAAACTACTGCTGCAGGAACTTGGTGGCTCATCTTTCCTTCACATACACCTAAAGCATTTGAAATGAATGGAAAGTATCGCCTGAGAAGCCGTGAGGATCACAAATAGACGCCCTGTGTCTCATGAGCTTAAACTGATCAATGTGTGAGAAGGCTGAGAAGTTGGAGGCAAAAACAGGCAAAGAAAGGACCACTAGACTAAACCAGCTGAGTATCCTGCTCCCAGCTTACTCTGAATTACTGTGTAGTAGGAGACATGGAGTCACTGCTGGACCCTAATACTAGCTCCTCCTGTCAGAGCTATGTGATTTTAGGTAGCTGCCTAGCAATGCTGGTCTTCAGTGCTTCTCTGTCTGATGAGAATAATAAGAGTCAACTTTATAGGATTGTTCTAAGGACTAAAAAAGTGAAAGTCTTCCCCTCCCCACCTGCTAGCCTCCTAAATTCTCCTATAAAGTCTATAAATGTGCACACCCTGCTTTTACACGGGAACCTCACAGCCAAGTAACTCAAGGAGGTGGATCTGGGCTTGTGGGTCATCTTAACAAATGAAAATAAATGTTTAGAGCAGTGACAAGACAAAGAAAAGGAGCGTCAAGCTCCTGTGACAGCCAAATGCATGACGGGAGGCCCAGGAGGGCACTGAAGGGGGCTGGGGGCTGAAAGGCGAGGTTTGTGGAGAAGTCTTCTTTGCACGTCCTCCTTGGCTGACAAGGGTCTAGTTGTGTCCTATTCTTGGTAGTGAGGGGACGATGGACATCTTTACAGATTTATGGCCCACTTCTAGGCAAGCAGGAGGAGACCGGAGACCTTTCTTTACATCTGCTCCTTCTCAGTTGGTTTCAGCCCCAAATAATCCTTTTCCCAAAGGGACATATTCTAGGGTCACTTTCTGCTGCCCTGCATATGACTCCCATGAAGAAGGGGCATGTTGTGTGCCTTTCTCAAATCTTTTCTGAACCTCAAATTCCTTTTTCACCCACATTCACACACATTAGATGATTTGTTTTGTTTGTTTTGTACAGGATCTTGCTGTACAGCTCAGGCTATCCTTGAACTCACAGTTATCCTTCTGCTTCAGCCTCCCAAGGCCGGGATCACAGGTGTGTGTCACCACGCTCAGCTGGCCCTTTAGATCTTTACCAGGTCAAACCCTGCACACGAACCAGGGATAGAGGACTGAACAAGATGAAGATATCCCAGTGGAGTGAGTCTGTACAACACTCTGTGAGGACAAAGATTAAAGAGTGTCACATCTTCTCCATCCCAGAGACACTAGCAATGCTTCCTGGGGCTAACCTAAGCTGAGTTCATTAGGACGCACTGATGAACCGGGGGGAGGAGGTGATCTAGCTGTGCAGACTTTCCAGGTTCTCTTTCCAATCCAGATTGAAAATATTCACAGAAAACACTGTGTCTGTATTAAACATGTATAGACTTTTTCTTGTCATCTTCTAAGGGATATAGTATAACAACTATGATAGCATTTACACTGTCTTAGGTGTTCTGTCACAGAGATAGAGATTCAACACACATGGGAAAATGTAAATGATGTGTGTAACTACAATGCCGTTTCATACAAGGATCTTGATCCTCCACGGATTTTGCTGCCCAGGGAGTATCTGGAGCAAACCTTTGCTGGATAGCAAGGGACAGCTGATTATATAGGCGAGCCTGGGCCTCAAAAATATGGAAAGTTTCTCCATCTATCATACCTTGTACCTAGAGGAAGCAGCCCCCTGACAGCAGGTAAACTTCAGTTCTTTTTTTAGCAACTTCAATGGCCCTATTTTTGAGAGTCCAGAATCTCTCTCTCTCTCTCTCTCTCTCTCTCTCTCTCTCTCTCTGTTTCTCAGCATGAGAAGGATTTATTAGAGGTAGAGATAGGATGTATTCATGAGCAGAGTGCAGGCCCAGAGCAATGAGGTGAGATACAGTTAGGAACCGGGGATCTTTTCTGTGCTTTGGGTGATGCGAGTCTGTGGGTTTCCATAACCTACTGTGAGGCAGGAAGATAGTGTGGCTGGAGCTGGCGTGGAAAGGGGATGTGACAAGGTCCTGGACACATGCACAGAACAGTTCTCAGAGCTCTGCTTGTGAACTTCCCGCGAGAACTCAAGCAAGTCTTTGATAGAATAAGCTGGACGTGACGCCAACGTGGGAAACACAAAGAGAGACCATTGCCGTGGAGAGCTCACTGTTGCCCCTCTTCAGTAGCCCATGCTACTGTAGGGTGTATTTTTATTTTTAATTTTTCCTCCCTTTTTACGCAGCCCAGACTCACTCTGTACAGCCTGTTTTTCCCTACCCTTCTGCTTTTCTCCCACCTTTAATAAACGTGAAACTGCCACCATTTGTGCTTGTTTGGTTCAATTCTTTGTTCAGGACAGAAAAGACCTAGAAACCACCCCCAGAAGGCCTCGCCATCACCCCAGGCCTGTAACAATAGCCTCAGGCTTGTCTCAGGAGTAGGAGAGGGTAACCCAGCCATAGTGAGATAATGGTTGATTCATGTAGGACACCCCAAAGGGTGGTCTATTCCTAGGGGAAAGAGGAGAATTTTCAAGTCAAAAGAGAATGGGTAGACCCATTTGGAGCCAAAAGGCTATTGCCCAAGTTTGCTGTTTTGAGAGAAGAAAAAGAAAAAGTAAAAATCAGGTTTGTGTCCTGAAACTGCAGTCTTTTTTTTTAAATTTCAAGTATAATTTTTGAAATAGCAAGTTCCTTGCCTCCTTTCCACTTGGTTCTCATTTCCTTCATCCGACCTCACCCCCTGCCTTTCTTCTCGGGGCGTGAAGGAGGCCGAGGAGCTGCTTCAGACGGAGGAGGCGGCACCGAGCCTGCCTAACCAGGGCTGAAAGTCTTGTCCCGACTGAGGAGACAGTAGAACTGCGGGGTTACATGCTTTGAAGAACCATCATCCTCCAACAGTCTGAAACGGGGGGCAAGGACCTAAAAGACAACAAGGAATCATACGACAGGACAGAAGTCCAGTGTGAAATAGAAAAATGAGAACTTTCTTCTACCAGGTTGTTTGAGAGAACCAGCAAGCTAGCCAGTCATTAAAGCTTACGGCAGAAACTTGATTTGTGAACGCATTGATTTGTGAACGTAGATTGGGTAAGGTAGAGGACACATTTGCAGAGTTTTCAGGAATGTGCACACAGCCCCAACGGGAGGTTTTAAGGGTAGACCTAGTGTCTTCCTGCTGTGTAGCTCATAAGAGGCTCCATGTGTCTGAACGGGCAAATGTCTGTGGGACGAGAACCACATAGCCTGCTCATTGCTTCATACTCGTGAAGCCACTGGCTCGTTAAACTTGAGTTTGTTCAGTCATTCACTTCTCCCTTCCTTCCCTCCTTCCTTCCTTCCTTCCTTTCTTTCTTTTTGTTTTTCTCTGTATTTTTTATCAGTGCTAGAGATCAAACCTAGGGTCCTGCACTTTCCAAGCAAGCACTGTACCACTGAGCTACCTCCCCAGCACAGTCGTGGCTTTTTTGCACTGCCGGGCTCTGTGCCTGCCCACAAGGGTTCTATATCGAGCTGCACCCCAGCCACTTCTCACCTCCCACTCAGTCACCTGCTCAGGGACCCCATCATCTGTTTCCTGCTGTGATGAGCAGAGCCAATGGCAACAGGGACACAAGCAAGGACAGCCGCGGTACTTACTGACTGCTGTGTTTTCTGACCACAGTGCGTGCCTAAAGGGCAGGCACCACCTATGTACCAGTGAAACAGTGTTAGTCATCATATGACATTCCTCAGTTTTCACAGTGATGACTCAACTAATTCTCTATACAAAAGCTTGACAAGCTAAAATTGTCCACCAGGGTTTCTGCTCACTTGCCTGAGAGGACTCTCATCTGGCCAAGTGCAAGAAGCAATTTTAAGTGGTAGGGAAGAGGGTCATAAAATTATCGTCTATTTTTTGGTGGAAGGATGAGAAATGATTTGAGTAGAGAAGCTAATTGACAAACCATAGCCAATTTCCACATCACTTTGAGTTTCCTACACACTGGCATGTGTGCGTGTGCACACAACAACTCTACCAAGGTTGGATATAAATATGAGAAGTAATTCTCCAACCTTTTCCATTTAACCGCAGGAAGTCTCAGAGGCAACCTTTTAGCTCAAGTCGGTCTGCGTAGTTAAGGTATTACTGTATTCTGTCCAGCTGGGATGAAACAGGAAAAGTGCGTATTTGACTCAAGATGAGTAACACACAGTCGTTCTCAGACGGAAGTACTTTTGTTCTAGGAAGACTTAATCGTGGCCAAATTATAGATTTCTCACCGGCCCAAGGTTAAATCTCACTTCATCGTTGATGAGAGTTGATCTGGTCTGGAGGGGTTAGCACCACATCCCACGCTTGGGTGAAGAGTCACCACTGCATCACTTCGCAGGCTTCTCTTGTAAATTTTATAGCATTAAAACCTCTTTTTCCCCCTTAAGAGATATAAAGCTGTTATTTTCTCTAAATTAAACAAAACTCAGCTTTTCTGAATAAGCCTCTGACTCCTTGAGTTAATCTGGGTAATTTTCACTTATGTCATTAGTGATTGGCAGGGGGAAAAACCTTCTAATGTGTAACTTTTGAAAGCCTAAGTCGTTCCTGATAGAACACTGAGTGTAGTGATTCATAACACTCTGGGTATGAAAGATAACTCTGCACATATGACTAGATGGGCCCTTCTAACGCTTATTGTCCTTTTTGGAGGGATGACATAGGTGGAAGCCCTATCTCGACGGCCTCCCTCCCTCCCATCCAGTCACTTAGGGCATCCAAAACATGCTGCTGTCCATTCCTGCATTTAAATGAAAAGTCCCCCAGAAGATCAGTCCTTTTGCCCTCATCTGATGTATTGGGGTGCAGTGGGGGCATAGAAGGCTTCTTGTGGTTGGCGCTTGCACCGAGACTTCCCACTAAACATTGAATCAATGCCTCAATCACCCTCTTTTCCAGAAGCCTTCAGACAATCCCTAGGAGTTCTGAAATTACCTCAGAGACACAGATGTGAGGTTGGGATGGAGCTGCTTCATGCGAGTTGGGTGACTTTGGGTAAGTTACTGAACCTTTAGGAGTCTCAGTTCTCAGATCCACAAAATGGAGGTAAATCTTGCCTAGCACAAGGAGGCCTTGAGTTTAGTCCCCAGCACAGCAAAAACAAACAAACAAAAACACCCAGCATCCACTTTATGTGCCTAATGTCTTCTAGGACAATAACCCCGCTCCTTGCTTCCCCCCTTCTCTAATCCAGGGTGAAAGAATCTGTAAATCCTTTTAAACTCTCCTCTATGGCCTCTCTCCTTTGACCTGAGCCTTCCAAAATCCTGTTCCCCAACATGAGCCCTCCTCCCCCGCCTGCCACACTCGGCTTTACATTGGGTGTTACCGTCTCGGGGGAAACTGTCTCCTATAACCCACACCTACATTTTTCTTATGCAGCTCCCAGGTGCCAGGTTAGACCACGGTCCCTGAGGACAGCCACTGGACCTAACTTCTCCAGCAACAGAGGCCACAGTTTTGATGTATATCGGTGGAATTAAGGAATGAATCACTGGTTTCACAGATGGAGGAAAGCTAGGCATGAATTTACTAATTTCATACAGATGTTTCAGAGGAGAGAATATGAGAATAAAATTACCCAGTGAAGGGATCTTTACTTTCAAATGTAGATTTAGGCCCCAGATGTTAGTCACCTTTTAAAATTTATTTTCTTGCTTATTGCTTTAAGACGGGGTCTTGTTGTACAGTTCAGGCTGGCCTTGAACTCACTATGCAGCTTAGGCTGGCCTTAAACTCGCAGTGATCTTCCTGCCTCAGCCTCATTAGTCTTTTTAAAAGTAATGATATTTAGTAAAAGTTGGTGGCTAATGCCTATAATCCCAGCACTTTGGGAGGGTGAGGGAAAACTGCAAGTTCACATCCGGCCTGGGTAATTTAGTGATTTAAGAAATACTCCCAAAATAAAGGAAACAGCATTTTAAAGGAGGCTGGGGATACAGCTCAATGTGAAGGCCCAGGATTCAACTCCTAGCACTATCCTGAAAGTAACTGAAGACATTTAATGCCAAGAACCCCAAAATTACTGGATTTTGTTTGTTTGATCGGTTGTTTGGTTTTTTTTTTTTTTTTTTTTTTGAGACAGGGTCTGGCCATGCAGCACAGGCTGGCCTCAGATTCATGGTGATCTTCCTGCCTCAGCCACCCAAGTGCTGAGCTTACAGGCATGTGCCACTGCACTTGGCCAAAGCTACTTATACTTTATTTCTACATACATAGCAATGAAACACTGTCAGGACAACAATATTCTAGAAGTTTCTTTTAGGTATTACTTTTTTCTTTTTTTCAAGCAGAGGACAAACAGGAAGGAAAAACAGGAATTGAATCCCCTAGCACGCAGTCATGTGTCTTTGTTTCTCAGAGCCTCGGTTAAAGCGAAGAGGTAAGTGACATTTAGATACAACGCTAGTGACTTTGGATCTCAGTCTCTGGTGAAATAGGGTATTTCCATTTGGTAATCACTGCTCTGAATATGTCAACAGTGTATCATCACTCTATTAAACAGAGCTCCAGCCCAAAGGAATTTCCCTGGAAGCCCTGATTCAGCCATCTCCTGAACCCCAGGGCTGTGCTTGTCTGGTTTTTGCCTTGTTCTGAATATGAGGCCTTCTGCCGTGCTCTGCAGGACCGCAGCCCAGGCACAGAGGCAGACAGACTCGGGAGCCAGCCAGGAGGAGTGCAAGGCACCTACCCAGGACGGACAAATCCTTCCCGGATTTGTGCACTGAGTTATGAGGAGAGGTGACTGCACAGCTGAAGGGGGACAGAGGAGGTGGCCACACTGGAGAGTGCAAGAGCCTCTTCCTCCAGTGACCTGTCAGCAGCAGGTGAAGCAGGAGTGTGGGCGAAGCCCTGAGAGGAAGCACACTTGTAGGAAAGAGCCAACAAGGAGGAGAGGAGATGAATGAGCTCCTCAAGGTGGTAACAGATGGAGAGAGGCAGGAAGAAGACAAGATCAAGATGGAGGAACGAACTTGCGAGTAGAAAGCCTGTTTCTTCCTCTGAGACTATAGCCAGGTTTTCAGGGAGGGGAGAAAAATGTAGGGAGTTCTTTCGGTAGTTCTAAGGGAACTTTGGGAGTGCTGAGACCAAACAGCTGCAATGAGACTGGGAGGAAATTAAGGTCTGGTTTCATCATTTGCAAAACAGTGACTGACACCTCAAGATGAACTGCAGTAGTCTCACCAGCAGTGAGCTGCTGCTGCGTGAGCGGGATGAGTGATAGTTTTACTGCTATTCATCTCTGGAAAGAAGGAGGCAAGGTCGTCTATGCAGGGGAAACAGGAAGGGAATGGCTTGGGGGAGGAAGCCGGACGGGAGTGAGGCTGAGACAGCTGGAGGGCACCTCGCAGGAAAGGCCTGAGGCAGAAGGAGCAGCTCAGGCGAGAGGGCAGGAATTCGCACAGTGAACTGGGAAGCAGGATCTTAGCAAGACCCACGCGGGATCCCAACAGCCCGGGGGTAGGGATCCACATTCACATCGTTGATTGACGACGGCTGCCTTAGTTTTGGGGAAACTGGTCTGATGACGGGAGCTGCACAACTAGGCACTGCTCCCATGCTTGGAATTCGGAGCCCCAGTTTCTCACCCATCAGTGCCAGACAGGTGTGGGCTGTTGTCCTAGAGCCGTGCACTGTCAGCCTTCAGTTATGTAAGAGGCCAGGGAAGGTGTGACTAAGGAAGCAAGAGCCAGATAGATGGTGAATAGTAGTTTACGAGGGAGACCTGACTATGCAGTGGCTTTGAGAGTCTCTTTATACAGCCAGGTGTGCTGGCACCTGCCTGTAATCCTAGCACTCAGGAGGCCGGGGCAGAAGGATCATCATGAGTGCAAGGCCAGCCTAAACTATACAGTGACACCTTGTCTCAAACAAAAAAAACAAAAACAAAAACAAAAGTGAAGTTACCTTACACTGTATATCATTTCATTTGACAAGAATTGTCAGTTGACATACAGCAAAAAGAGTTTCTCAACCTCAGGACTTTGCCACTTACTTGAGGCCATATAAGTCTGTGTCATAAGGATCTGTCTTGTATATTGGGGGTGTTTAGGAGCACCCCTGTGTTCTACCCACTGGATACCAGTAGCAGCCCTGTAACCATCATCCACTTTTAACTATCACAAAATGTCTCTTGCCATTGCTAATTTTGCCCAAGGGTAAAATTTCCCCTAGTTGAGAATCCTAGCAGGACAATGATCACTCTTAAGGAGAAACATCCTTCTCTTCATGTCTCATCATTATTTTGAACTCAGCTCTGACGATCTTCCCTCCCAGGTTCTCCTTCTTCCTCATTAGCAAATCCTAAAGCTGTTGCATCACCTCAGGCAGGACCAAGCCAACAGACTGCAAAGCACATTTCAGAATTAGACTTAAACATTGCATGGTGCTTACTTACACAAGAAACCCTGAGTACAAATAAAGAGATAAACGAAAAGACGGTAGAGAGATATTTCTCAAATGCCAAAGGGATCAAGAGATGAAGGAAGCAGAGGGAGAGAAGGGAAAGGCGATGTGAAGGGAATTCAGATGTTACATACATGGACCAACTCTACGAAAGAAATGAGGAATGAATGAAGAGGCATTTCATCTGGAGGAGCTCCAGCTCTGCAGAACCTGAAACCCATGCAGTTTGCGAAGCTCTCCTGATGAACAGTAATGCAAAATTATAAACGGCGCCTGCCTGGGAGGAGGCCAAGTCAGGACTAAGCCTGGCTCCCCGGCTCCACCAGTGCATCCATCCCTCATCCCAAATTCTCTACTTCCTGTGAGCTTAATTCTTGGTTTAATTTTCTTCTCTAGCCTGTTCTCCTCTCCCTCCATATTACCTTAGATAATCCCCAAAGTTCATCAAATCGGTGTGTTTTTCGCCTGTACACAGCTATGTAAGATGCTATGTCTTTTGTTTCCTTTTCCCACAAGTTGTTGAAGATGAAACCACTGCTGTTTTCTCCAAAAGAGGTTCAAATTTGACCTGAGACTATGTAAAAGAAACCCTCTCATCTTAATTTCCCAGGCTACATGGAAAATGAAATTGTTGTACTTATTAAAATAGCTTTTCTTCAAATTCTTGTGACTTACTAAAAATGACCATTAGCATTTTCAGTTGGTTCCATTTTGGTTTTGGTCAGAGTTTCTTCTGAACTCAGTTTCACTAAGAACTTTGGTGACATTTATCCTTCACTTCCCCTTTTTTTTTTTTTTTTTCTGATGCCTTCTGGACCAGCCTAAGGGATGTGTCACTCTAGTTGGCATAACAGCTTCTCTTTTTTGGATAGGATCAGTTGAGAGCCAGCACTTCAATCAGTGGTAATAACTCAAAGTCTTACTTTCCCAAGGACTCTAAAACTGACTCTCACTGGTAGTAGATTAAAACCCTGTTGTGAGCACAACATACAGAGGGCTCAGCTCGAAAGTCAGCAGTGGCTAAGGTCCTGCCCTCACCCCCCACAACCCTGCAGCCCAGAGGGAGGGATACACATGAGCCATGTACTATGTTCCTATACTGTCTGAACCACTTCACAAACATGAACTCACAAGTACAGGGCCGGGTGTGACATAGAATGACAGGTCACAAGCAGTATCATCTGAGGCCATGTGAGCTGTGGCTGTTGGGGGAGCAGAGGGAATCTGAACAGAGACTTTGGGATCACCATACTTTTTCAAATTTTTTTATACTGGGTACTGAACTTAAGGCCCGGAGAATGCTAGGCAAGCACTCTATCACTAAGCATCACCGCTTTTTGTTGTGTGGTTTGAGCTGTCCAGGTTTGTCTCAAACTTGTGATCCTCATAGCTGAGCTTCCTGAGTAGCTAGGATTACAGGCATACAGCGTGCTGCCTGGCTGGTCATAATGCTTTAGACAGGCAGAGATATTCTGAGTCATGGCACATGGGTTTACTTCTTATTAGTCCAGAGGGGTTCATAACATGGCACCCCAATATTACTGAATGTGTCACGCTGAAAGAATCTGAGAACATGGCAGAAGCGGGCAGGCCGCTCTTTCCCACCCTTCCCAGAAGCAGGGCGGGAATCCCTCATGGAAGAGGTTCCTTTCTATGCCCAGAGGAAGGGAACATCCTTATTTCTGAAGACATGGGGAAGAACAGGAACACACATACGTTACGACCCCCTCCCCCTGGTTTATTACCATTAGATCAGATTTCCATTGTCCAATTGCATTTCTCCACAGCCAGCCATTCTTCACCCAGCGTAGCATAAAATATGTGACTACTCTTCCATCGTGTTCATGAAGTCTCCCAGATCAGGTAAAATTTCTATTAAATAAATTTAGATTTTTTTTCCATATTAATCTGTCTTTTATCATAGAGGTGCCCACCTAATCAAAGCAATAGATGAGGAAAAGATATTTCTACACTCCCGAAACCCCTTACATTTTCACACAATAGTTGAGGCTACTTATAATAAAAAGTTCAGCTCGGAGTGGTGGTACATCCCCCATAAACCTGAACTCAGAAGGCGATGCAAGAGGATCGTGAGTTCAAGCCCATTCTAGACTACTTAGTGACTTAGACTGTCTCAAAAGTTCAAAAAAGTATGATCATCTAGGAATACAGTCAGTGTGAAGACCTGGGTCCAATCACTTGTACTACAAAGACAACAACAACAACAAAATAGCCACAATAGAGTGTTAAAACGAGAATTAAAAACATGGGTCACTTATACAAGAGAGCCTGCCCTCAGCTAAGAATATTTTTAGAATCAAGTTAAAAATGTAAGTGTCCAGGAAATTTAGGTATAATGAATTTCATAATTTTACCTTTAAAAAAAAGCAAGCAAAAAACAAAACCAAAAAAAAAAAAAAAAAAGGCAACCCCAGGCGCATGTGCTTACTCTAAATTGTAAGAAAATTGACAGAAAATTGGCACATCTTTATCCAAGGGAATAGTGAATGATAATAAAATTATTTTCCACAGATATGAAAGGTCTTTTATGTGCCTGTTTCTCTTGCTGAAAAAGTTTGGTCTCGTGGTGATATTTCTGTAAGGAGATGAGGAGCTGGGACCCAAGAAAGCACTTTCAGGTGCTGTAACTGTACCTCTGGTGGCAGTTTAGTGTGCTACTTTTCAGACTGTAATGTGCATCTGAGAGATCTGCGGGCTCTAATTCAGTGGGGTGGGGTGGGGCGGGGCCTGAATTTCTGCCTCTCTCCCACACTTGAGAACCAAAAGCTTAGAGCTGTAGTCTGAAACCTGAGCGTGCACCAGAATCACAAGGAGGCCACAAAAACATGGATAGCTGGGCCACATCTCCAGATTTCTTTGTACAGTCATCCTGCGGTGGAACTCACAAGTTTGCATGTCTAACAAAATCCCAGGTGACACTGTTTGTGCTGTGCACCCCCCCAAACCACAATTTTAAAAACCACTGACTTAGAACATCCTTCACAAATATAGGTAAGTGGTTCCTCCTGAAGTTTGCATGAAAGCTGGGGGACGGAATTCAAAATGAGTCTTCCAAACAGATATTTTGTGAACTTAAAAGAGATCTATACACTTTAGATAACAAAGATAAGGGTCACTCATGTCTTTTGACATTTTCTCTGTGCACTAAACTGGGGGTTTAACATGCATTATCTTACTTAGCATCTGGCCTGAGCAGCAGCCTTGATGTTTGAGATGTGGCTGAGGAGCCAGCCTGTGCTCCTGCGGGAGTGTACAGCTTTGGCACATTGGTCCACAGACGTACCTGAGACAAGACCAAATCGTCTTGCAGGAAACACCTTTTGATCTGGACAAGTAGTCAGTAGAGCCCGAGGTTCTGCTTCAGAAGGCCTGCAGGAAACAACTGAAAGAATGTGAAGCCAGGTGCTAACAATCATCTGTCTCAACCGCAAAAGTACCTGAAAATAGAATAGAGCTTATAAATTGGCTCTGCTGTGATCAGAAGCACCTGGATGCCTAGGACACATTCACGAAGGGTCGATGAATGTGGTCTGGGGAGACATCTAGGTATAAGATTTTTCAGGGGATGAATGGGCGTTGAGGCACGGTCTTGTTATGTAGACTAGGCTAGCTTTGCACTCACTATGCAGTACAGGCTGGCCTTGAATGTACAGTGATTCTCCTGCCTCAGCCTCCTGGGTTCTGGGATCATAGGCACAAGCCAGCATATCCAGGTTAGGCATCAGCATTTAAGAAAGTTCCCTAGGCAAGGTTGAGAACTACTAATATATTGACTATACCAGGCGTTACACTTGATCAGAAGGGAAAAGTAAAAAAAAAAAAAAGAGAGAGAGAGAAAAGAAGGGAAAAAAAAGAGACAAAGCTTTTGTAAGTGGGGAGGGGTTGAAGAAAGAGTAGGAGAATGGGAAAAAAAGAAACAAGTTATATTATGTACAGGTACAAATTATGAGGAATGTGATCATTATGTATATTTAAAATGTACTAATAAAATATGATTAAAAAAAAAAAAGAACTAGTAATATAGATTCGATTTTACCTTTTCCCAGGTGGAATCTCTTAAGGATCGCCCAAATTGGTTTTTGGCTATTGTTTGGAGCTCTGGTTGTCAAATGTCACTATGCATCAGAATCATGTGGAAAACACAAGAAAGCTGATTTCTGGGCCTACCTCAGCGTGTCTAAGCCAACAGCCCTCGTTTGACCAAGAATCTGTGCTTTTGTTTTGGGGGTTGAGACACTGATATATAATTCTGGCTTGAATCCAGAACGACCTTGAACTTGCAGCGATCCTCCTGCTTCAGTCTCCCAAGTGCTAGAATTGGAGGTGTGTGCCGCCATGTCCAGCTGAGTTCTTTTGCTATGTTGGTATTGTTCCTGTACTCCCAACCCTTCTGGAAACAGGGGCTCCCCGAGTTGCTAAGCTGCCCAGCCTGGGCTCAAACTTGAAATCCTATTGCCTCATCCTCCCTGAGTACTGCATTACGAGAGCAGTGGCAAGCAAAACACTGAGATGACACCCAGAATTTGGAGGCTAATTTATTTTACATGGATGAGCACTGATCTGAATCATTTCCAAAATAACAGGCCCTGATCTCCGGTGGTCCAGGGCTTACATGGGATAAGTAGGAAGTACAGAGGCAGAATGGCTTGTCAGCTGAAGGTTGGTTCTTACAATGTGCATCACAGTGACCAGCTGCTTCTAAGAAACAAAAGCACAAGAATGGTCACCAGAACCATTACCTGGACAACTAACAGACTGACGCATGCTGGCTGGGGAGGAGGAACATCATCCACTACCCAGGTGTGGGCTTCTAAGCCCAGCAAAAATTTGCATTTCTGAACTCCTGGCAATCCTGACACCTCTGGTCACTCGATGTTAATTACTTTAGTATTAAAGTCTTAATAGGATGTGGAGAGGGATGTCTGTGTTTCATATATCGCATTTCTCAGCTTTTGTTTATTGGAGGAAAAAATGCAGACAATCAAAACTGAAAACATCAAAACTATTCATAATCCAATGATAGCCACAATGAATAACATTTTTCCTACAATATACAATGTATTCAGTTTCTATCAAAAACAGTTGTGTAAAGAACTTTTTTTTGAAACATGGCCTAAACTCACTATGTAGCCCAGGCTGGCCTCAAATCTGCAGCAATCCTCTTGCCTCGGCCTCTCAAGTTCTGGGATTACAGGCATGCGCCACCTCAGATCTGAAGAACATTTCTGCACCTAGAAAAGTGCTCACGCACACATTAGTGTGTCCTTGTCTACCTTAGTCACAGGATCTGATCCCATGTGACTTCGGGCTTTTCTCTCAAATTAAAATGACCATGAAAGGGAAATGTTTGAATTGATTCAGGACAGTCAGGACAGCACAACTAGACTTGGAGAACTGCTTTAGAAAGCTTCAAAAATGTTAGGATAACTGTTCAGCATGAAGGGAAGTACTCTTGAGGGAGAGTCATGGCAATGTGCCTTTTTTTTTTTTTTCTTTTTCCTTTTATCGGTACCGGGGATCGAACTCATGACCGCCTGCTTGCAAGGCAGGTGCTTATGCCACTGAGCTAAATCCCCAGCCCCAGCAATGTGCCTTTTACTGCAATACAGTTTTAAAATATTCAAGCATCCATTGTATTTTTGGAACATAACATGTATGTCATTATGCTTTGGAAACGGTCTGGTCTCACGTGGCTGCAGTGCTTTAGGGTTTCACTAACACTGCAGGTCTAGGCCAGTGGTCTGATCATCCGTTCAGAGGATATCGGTACGCAGTGTGGCATGGGCGGGGGGTCTCTTCTAAGCGTTGCAGCCATTGTTAATTCCCTATGGTCTTCTTTCGAGCTCCTATCTCGTTTCCCTTGTGTCGTTGGGTTGGGTTTTATTCTTTTTTGTTTTGTTTATGTCAAATCTGATGGCAGGAGCAGCTATTTCAAAGATAGTAAGATATATCATGATAGGAATTTTGGATTTACCATAGGCTTGTTTTGAAGTCCCTTATTGCATTCATTGTTTTGTTTTTATTGTTTCTATTCTATTCTGTTGTTTGATTTTTACTATGTCCCAAGTTATCTACAGCTATTTTGAAGACATCAAAAAGCATTATGGTAACTATTGTTGATTTTGTAATGTTTTGAAGTCTTGTATCTTTTACCCTGGATTGTTTTGATTGATTTTATTCTGTTTTATCCTCTTTAAAATTTTTTTTAAAAGACAAAAAAGTGAATGACTCAAAATCCTAACAAGGCTGCACGTGGTGGCACACACCTGTAATCCCAGCACTCAGGAGGCTAAGGCAGGAGGACTGTTGCAAGTTTGAGACCAGCCTGGGCTACAAAGTGAACTCAAGGCCAGCCTGAACTGCATTGCAAGACTGTGTCTCAAAAAGACAAAGAAAAAAAAGTCTTAACAAAAAACCTCCTTGAGGCCCAACCCCTATCTACCCACCTACGCTAGTGGCCTTCACCTCTTTTTTTTTTTTTTTTTTTGTTCAAACTTTGAACCCAGGGCCTTCACATCCAGGGCTCCAGGGTCTCATGAACACACCTGACTGCATTAGAACTTTCTATACTCCTGCTTAGTGCCCCAGAGTGCGGGGGTTATAGGTACAAGTCACCATGCCCAGCTCATCCTGTTCTTGATTGAGTCACACTGGCCTGCATATTGATCCTTAAATTTTTCCAAGTACACGCTTGCTTCTGCCATTGCATTTGCCAATTTCTATGCAAAGAATGATCCACCCGTCAATACCCAAGTCTCTTCCTCTGTTCAGGTATTGTCTTATATGTTACCTTCTCAGAAAGACTTTACCTGGTCACGGTACACTTCACCCTTCTTTATTTTCGCTCAGGACTTCTCATCACCTAACACACACACACACACACACACACACACACACAGACACACAAACTGCTTGTTTCCCCAACTAAATAATACAGGGCATAAGAAGAAGGTTTTTTCTCACTTCCGGTCACTTCAACTCCCTCCATCTTTTCCAGCACCTGAAGCAGTTTTTAATCTGAGCTTTTAATCTGAGCTCAGGAAATGTTGGTTTAATGAATGGATTCGTCGTTACTCATAAATTAAAAATAAACATCCTTGGAGAAGAGAGATCCTGGGGGAAATCCCCAAGAGTTCTCTGGCCTGAGAAAAACTCAACTTACTTGAAAAGGGAAATAGTTTTGGTTTTCCCCTTCATTTCTGAAAGTTATGTTTAATAGAGACTAGCCGTGCCTGCTCAATAATCTCTTCCTAATCCTTAACACACCTCCTTAAAAACACAGAGAATGGTGAGCGGCGGCCTGCGAGAGGAGGTGAGGAAAAGGGAAAGAGAGGAAGACAAATAAAGGTCGCTGGCTGGGACGGACGCATGATCCACGGGAAATGGACTAGCCCCGGCCTTTCCTGCCCTCGTGAGATCCTGCACCAGGTTTCTTTCTGTGTCTGTGTTCTGCGATCCTCCAGGGTTCACCACTCCTCCTATGGGAAAAGTCCTCCTGCCTGGTTTCATCACTGATGAAGCTTCTTCGCATCAGCGCTTCTCCACCACACATTTTCATCATCCAGCTGCATGTTTTAGAGACCATACCAGCCAGAGTGAAGAGCGTGTTTCCCATTAAGGGGGGAGAGGATCGATGGAGCGCAGAGAGCCACAGAATCACATCAGGCAGTTTGCTTTGCTCATCTACACACAGCAGTGACAGCAGAATGACTGATTCTCTGGCCAGGACCAGCTGGCAAAGGCAGGTGAGCCAGCCACTCACCTGACGTGATTTCAGGGCTACTGAGAACTCTTCAGATCACCCATGGGCCACAGTATTTGCTCCAAATAGCTCTCCCTTGGGTTAAGCTGCTTTAAGGATCACCCATCAAAACCCCACATAGCCATTTGGAATGCAGAAAGTCCAATCCAAGACAGGCCCTTGTACTTGCAGGGCAAGAGTTCAAATGGAGGCCTGCAGTACGGGTGTTCTAGTCCCTACCATGGCCTTAACCTGGAAAGCTGGGTTCAAATTTAGGATTCTTAGGTGTCTCCGCTTCTGTGCTGGGAGTGGTAGACCTCCCACCTCAGCTGTTTCCCATACCACAGGGGCCTCCTGCACATGAACGCAGATGCCCAGTCTACACCTCCAAACTCCGTACAGCTTGGTCACCTGGATTTTGAGTGTTTATTTCAGGAAGAGCCCTCAAAAGGACCGGAGCCCCCCAACACATCTGTTGGGGGACAGGACTGCTGAGATCTCAGATTCTGAGAATGTGACCTTAAAGGATAGCATGCAGTCCTGGCGGGGAGAGGCAGTGTGTCCCCTCTGTCCTAAGAAAGCCCTTACCCCATGAGAGGGACACAGCAGGAGCGGGGCCCTCTAACATGCAGGACTCAGGACAAGGGCTTTTCGTCCAGGCCTGACGCTGGTACTT